TCAAGCCTTGTTTTTTGAAACTCTTGACTGCATCACAAAAAGAGTTTATTATTGGTCATGGTTGCAACGTAGGGAAGCATCTGAATTTCCATGCTTTACTCTTTAATGGAGAGAGAAGGGAGGAGCAAAAACAAAACCAAACAAACAAACAAAGCCACCTTGAAGGTAGAAAGAAAACACAGCTCCCTGTATGCTGGGACATGGCTCAGATAGGAAAAGATAGGGTTTCGGCATGGACCTCATCTCAGAGAGCTCGCTTCTTTTGCCCTTCATAACAGGATACTGGAATCTCTCTCTACTATTTACCAGATCAAGTCAAATACCTTTTTGAAAATTCATATGCCACAAATGATCTTGCAAAGGGAAAAATAATAACTTTTCCAAATTAAGTCAACACAACCGAAAAATCTAGAAATTTGTATGAATTAGAATATTTGTCTAACTCTTTTCCAAGTTCAGTGCATTTGCTCATTTATTACATCAAGGCTGAACCTCCCAGGAGAGTTTCATTGTTTTAAATTGTCCACCTTACAAACAATCCCATTTACAGTTGCACCAAAAAGATCCATATACCTAGCAACAAATCTAACCAAGGAGTTGAAAGACTTAAACTCTAAAACTAAAGACATTAATGAAAGAAATTGAAGATGACTCAAACAAAGGGAAAGATATCCCATGCTCATGGATTAGAAGAACTAATGTTCATACTACCCAAAACAATCTACAGATTCAGTGATTCAGTGCAATCTCTCATCAAAAAGCTAGTAACATTTTTCACAGAACTGGAACAAGTAATCCTAGAGTTTGGGTGGTACCACAAAAGACCCAGGTAGCCAAAGCAGTCTTGAGAAAGAACAACAAAACTGGAGGTATCACAATCCCAAATTTTAAGATACTTTATAAAGCTATAGTAATCAAGACAGTGTGTTACTAGAAAAAACAAAACAAAACAAAACAAAACAAAAAAACGTAGATCAATTGAAAAGGATCGAGAGCCCAGAAATAAACCCACACTTATATGGGCAATTAATTTACCACAAAAAAGGCAAGAATATACAATGGGGAAAAGACAGCCTCTTTAATAAAAGGTTTTGGGGAAACTGGACAGCTATATGCAAAAGAATGAAACTGGACCACTTTCTTACACCATACACAAAAATAAACTCAAAACGAATTAAAGACCTAAATGTGACATATGAAACCATAAAACTAGTAAAAGAAGACATAGGCACTAACCCCTTAGGCATCAGCGTTAGCAACATATTTGTGGATAGATCTCTTCAGGAAAGGGAAATAAAAGTAAAAATAAACTGTTGGGACTAGACCAAAATGAAAAGCTTTTGCAAAGCAGAGGAAACCATCAACAAAATGAAAAATCAACCTACTGACTGGGAGAAGATATTTATCTTCTCCAATGATATATATCCAATGATATATCCAATAAGGTGTTAATATCCCAAAAATATAAAGAAATTATACAACTGAACACCAAAAAAACAATAAATAAGTAATCTGATAAAAAAAATGGGCAGAAGATGTGAATAGGATATTTTTGGAAGAAGACATCCAGACGACCAATGAAGAGAAGGTCAGCATCACTCATCACCAGGGAAATGCAGATCAAAACCACAAGGAGGGGCGCCTGGGTGGTTTAGTTGGTTAAGCATCCAACTTCAGCTCAGGTAATGATCACATGGCTCGTGAGTTGGAGCCCTGAGTTGGGCTGTCCGAGCTGTCTGTGCTGACAGCTCAGAGCCTGGAGCCTGCTTCGGATTCCCCATCTCCCTCTCTCTCTGCACCTCCCCTGCTTGCACTCTGTCTCTCTCTCTCTCTCAAAAGTGAATAAACATTTAAAAAAGTAAAGAAAAAAACATAAGGAGATATCACCTCCTACCAGTCAAATGGCTATTATCAAAATGACAAGAAATAACTAGTGTTGGCAAGGATGTGGACAAAGGAAACCCTCGTAAGCTATTGGTGGGAATGTAAATTAGTGCAACCACTGTGGAAAATAGTATGGAAGCTCCTTAAAAAATGAAAAATAGAACTACCATACGATCCAGTAATTCTCCTACTGGGTTTTATGCGAAGAATACAAAAACACTAACTTGAAAAGATATATGCAGCCCTATGTTTATTGTATTATTAACCATAGCCAAGATATAGAAGCAACCCAAGTGTC